TCGGGTCCCCTTAACCTTAGATTTTTATTTTAGAAAGGATAAAGTTTGGAGGAAGAGTTACTACTGTCATTGATAATTACAAGAATCTGTTTATCATTAAACCACTTACATCTCTTTATAATGAGATTTATAAGCTCCAGTGTTTGGATTATTGTTCTAATAAAAATAAAGTCCCTAAAGAAACATCTTTTCTATGTAGGTCTTTCCAATAAGTAGTTGAAGAGAAATGTATTCATATAGAGCAAAAGGCTAGTTTAGGAATGTCTCTTGATCATGATTTTGTTTTTTGAGACAGGGTCTCTTTGTAGCCTGTGCTGGCCTAGACCTAACTATGTAGCCCAGGGTGGTCTTGTATTTGCAGCTGTCTTCCTGCCTCAGCCTCCTGATTGCTAGGATTACAGGCAAGCATTAACATGCCCAGTTTATAGCTTATAATGATTTTAGGGCTAGAGTAAATGAAGCACTAGATTCATGAGAATAGAGATTTTGAGAGGAAATTCTCAGACCCAAATCCATTTTCATTGAAGATGAGATTATTGACTATGGCTGAATCAAATTAGAAAAACATAAAGTTTTCTCCACATAAGAGTTTCCATATATAAATTGGCTTCGTATCCAGGAATGTTTTGTTTGTTTGCATTATTTTCTGACAAGGTCTCACTATATAGCCCTTGCTGGCTTACAACTTTATGTAAACGAGGTTAGCCTCAAACTCACAGAGATCTGCTTTCTTCAGCCTCCTGAAAGCTGGGCTTAAAGGCAGGTGCCATCATGATGGGCTCAGTAATTTCTTTTTTAACAGAGACTCTTTATATCGCCCAGGCTGGCTTTTCCTGTCTCAACCTTCCCTGGGTTATGATTACAGGCTTGCACCAACCACTGGGCTCAGCAATGGTTTCTTTTCTTCAGGAAGCCTTGCTTCCCTCCTCCACCTTGATGGTTTTAAAACTGAGTATTCTTTTCTTTAAAGAGAAGGTAAGGTTTGGCAAGCTTGACAGAGGGGCTAGTTTATTCTGGACTAGGGCTTGAAGTTGGGCCAGGGAATACTGTTTGTCCATTGAACTGGAAGAGAGTCAAGAGGTTCCTGAGTATTTGTTTTGCCACTGACCTTGACATCTGGGCTTCAGGTTCCCTCCACATAGGAGGTTGCACTAAATAGCTCATAATTGCAAAATTTTGATTTTTTTTTTCCAGTGGCCCTAGCAGTAGCAGCTCTAACTATTGTCAGAGACTAAGGAAAATAGGAAGTGAAAAGAAATGAGTGACAGAAGAGGTTGGGCACAAGAAAGAAAAGGCTTATAGATGAGGCTGAATGGTTAGAGGGTAAGAAAATAGACATACCCCAAATTATGCCACTTTTGCATAATTTGATCTAAGAGCACTTAAAAACAAAACAAAAGGGCTGGAGAGATGGCTCAGTGGTTAAGAACACTGGTTGTTCTTGCAGAAGACCCGGGTTCGAATCCCAGCACCCACATGGCAGCTCACAACTGTCTGTAACTCCAGTTCCAGGGGATCTGACAGCCTCTTCTGACCTCCGTGGGCATTGCACAACATGGGTGCACTTACCTACATGCAGGTAATACACGCACACACATAAAATAAAAATAATAAATAAAATTAAAACAAAAACAAAACAGCAGGTAAAGAAAAGGGGCTCTTTTGAATCCAGGGCCTCAGGCATACTAGGCAGGTGCTCTACCACTGAGTTCACAGGCCAAGAGGTGCTAATATTCTCCCCTTTTCTTCCTGAAAGCAGGGGTTTGCCTCTCTAACTACAAGGAAAGTAACCTGAAGAATGAGAAGTTGAAACAGCTGGAAATGTAGCTCTGTGGTTTTACCTGCCATGTATAGGCATTTGCCTATCATGTATACCCTGGGCTAGATTTTCAAAACAACAGTCAAGAAACTGTGCACAAAACAAACCTTGTTAAAATGCCGATTTTCATCAGGCATGATGGCACACACTTTTAATCCTAGCACTCAGGAGGCAGAGTCAGGCAGGTCTCTCTCTGAGTTTGAGGCCAGGCAGGTCTAAATTAGCAAGTTTCAATCACTCCAGCTCTGCACTCACATGGCCCAATGCCACTCAGAACCCACACTCAGACACACATATATACACTTAACTAAAAATAATAAAATAATATTTAACAAAAAATAAAAATGAATAGATAAAATAGCATCCTTCTTTGCTCAATGTAACATGGAAGCACCTGGGTTTTGCTGCATTTGGGTTTTCTATACTTCCCTTTTGTGAAGCTGGTGATTTAACTTACAGTTGGCACAGCTAGGCAAGTGCTCTATCACTTATGCACATACATCCCCAGCTCTCTTCATTTCCTGCTGAGGGCTCCTGTGTCACTTATTAACTCATTTATAATCATGCATGCTTTTTATTTTTTTTATAGTTACCTGTTGTTATGTTGGTTTAATTCTTATGCCCTGGGAAGAAACCCTAAGATATTAGAGGTAAAATTTGGCCTCCCCTACAGTTTCATGCCAAGAAATTGCTGTTCTTGGTATAAAATTGGACTAGTGTGGATGGAGGTAGAAAGAGTAATCTCTTTGTTTTTCAGAATCTACACTTAACACAGCCTAACTGGATGGTGGCTTGTATTCTAAATCACTTTGCAGTAAACCTGGCATTGTTTGGTTTTTGGGGGGGTTGTTGTTTTTGTTTTCTGAGATAGGATCTCTATAGCCAAAGCAGGCCTTGAACTTGTTAAGTAGTCAAGGATGACCTCAAACTTCTCATCCTCCTGCCTCCACCTCCCAAGTGACAGGATTAAAAGCGTGCATGACCATGGCCTATTTATATGGTGCTAAGGATCAAACCCAGGGCCTTATGCATGCTAAGCAAGTACCGTACCAACTGAGTACTTGTTTTATTTTTCTGAGACAAGTACTTGTTATGCAGACCCAGTTGGCCAGGTACTGACTATGTAACCCAAGCTGGCCTCAAATTCATGGCAATCCTCCTGCTTCAGTATTCTAAATAATAGGATTACAGGGTGTGCCACCATGCTCGATTTAGTAATCTTTAATTATTAAAGATTAATTAATAATTATTAATCTTTAATTATTTAATCTTTAATATTTAATTATTAGCCACTATGTGGGTGCTGGGAAAGGAACCTGGGTCCTTTGCAGGAGTAGCCAGTGCTGTTAACTGCTAAGCCCTCTCGGGTCCCCTTAACCTCAGATTTTTATTTTCTAGGATAAAGTTTGGGGGAAGAGCTACTATTGTCATTGATAATTACAAGAATCCATTTATCATTAAACCACTTACATCTCTTTATAATGAGATTTATAAAGCCCCAGTGTTTGGATTATTGTTCTAATAAAAATAAAATCCCTAAAGAAACATCTTTTCTATGTAGGTCTTTCCAATAAGCAGTTGAAGAGAAATGTATTCACATAGAGGCTTTCTAAGCCTCCAAAGAAATCAAGGTGACACCCATTTTATTGTTCCCTTGTTATCATAGTATTTTAGAAAGACCGGCACTGCTGTGGAGGTAAACTGAAGTTAAAGAACAGGACTGCGGATCACTGAGGAGCGGTTTGGCGAGCAGGGAATAGAGGGACTTGCAAGAGCAGAGCAAGGATCCCTGGATGCCGCGGGGACTTACCCGCCCGGCTAACTACATTTCCCAGGCTCCCCCGGCCCCGCCCC